TGCCAGAAGATATGCCAGATAGATATGCCAGATAGAATAGAATGCCAGAAGATTTGCCAGATAGAATGCCAGAAGATATGCCAGATAGAATGCCAGAAGATATGCCAGATAGAATGCCAAATAGAATGTCAGAAGATATGTCAGATAGAATGCCAAATAGAATGTCAGAAGATATGTCAGATAGAATGCCAGAGATATGCCAGAAGATATGCCAGATAGAATGCCAAATAGAATGTCAGAAGATATGTCAGATAGAATGCCAGAAGATATGCCAGAAGATATGCCAGATAGAATGCCAAATAGAATGTCAGAAGATATGTCAGATAGAATGCCAGAAGATATGCCAGAAGGTGTGCCAGATAGAATGCCAAACAGAATGTCAGAAGATATGTCAGATAGAATGCCAGAAGATGTGCCAGTAAGAACATGTATAAATGTCATGGTGGGGATCACTCGAAGTAAAGTAATTTGTTTTTTCTTGTTTTCTATGCTATTTGATAGAAAGACAAGGATTCCTGACAGTGAAGGTTGATGAACACCTACACGTATTGTAGGTAGTTTGATGCAAAACTTGATGCAAACTGATTTGTTCGATATGATTTGATGCAGAAAACATGCTACGCCCGAAAAGGATTGCTATACATATAATATATGATAGCAATGGACAGTGTCTCCCTGGGCCGGGGCTGATTTGAGGTCCTTGCTCTGCAAGGCGCGTCAAGGGCATTGCCGAGAGGATGGCAGCTCTCATTTGTTGCCTCGGGGAGTGGCTTGGTTGCCGAAGTGCGCAGCGCTGTGGATGGTGATTTATAACTGATTTCCATAGGTCCCAAGATGGGGTCGGATAAGGCGGGATAGACCAACAACATGATGTTATATAATATTTGGGTGCGTCTGAACATGGCATTTACCCATACAGTGGCAGCATTGATTTATGATATAAACCAGCAAATTTGGAGATATGTTCCATTTTCAAACACAAAAAGGCAAAAAAGATCGATGAAATTCATTGCACTGAAGAGAAATTGGGTGTGGAGGAGCTACAGAACAAAAAAAGACGTTTGCTGTTTTGTGGTTTCAAGGGCGTCTGACAAATGTTGAATTTGTCGTGTTTGCATGTGTTTGCATGTGGTTGCATGCCTGTGTTTGTGACACAGTTGCAGCTTGAGTGTTTCTTTCCTACCAACACATTGCAATGTGATTGCATCTGCATTTGTATCAACCCCAAGGTCATGTTTAGATCTTTAAACACGCTTCGTCTAAGTGGGGGGTTCCCAAAATCGAGGATCCCCAAGTTGCCCAATTCACCATGGGTTTCAATACTAAAATGGTCATCCATGACTGGATGATTGGGGGGTACCCACATGACTTAGGAAATTTCTAAGTCTAAGTTTTTCTTGCAGCGCACTTAAAGCATCTTAAAGCTCCAAAACAGGCAATTCTGAGGGATAACGTATTCAAATTGTCCCCTCCATGACTTCCATGAATGTCTCTCCCGTCACAAGCTGAAGTGAACGATATCACGCCGTAAACATATTTTGAGTATGAGTATTTATATAGCATATCTCCATACTTTTCTCTCTCTCTCTCTATATATATATGTGTATATATATATATATTCACAAATAATATACATACAGACGTATAATCGTCATATATTGTCTCTATAATATCATACATACGAATAATACACACATACATATAATCATTAATATGGTCTCTATATCTATATATTGTCTATGGACTTGACGGTCAGATTCATCCCTGAGGCTATCAGCAGTCAACAGCTCAGGGACTCGGCCATGGCGGCAGCACGCCTTCTTCAGGAAGAGATCTTTGGCGTCAGTATCTATAGAATTGAAAAGCGTAGGTATATGATGGTATATGATGTTATCTTCTATAGATATGATGGTAGATGATGGTATATGATGTGATGGATTTTTATACTGTAAATATATATATATATATGTAAGATTATATCCGAATATGAACCATATCTATCTATTTGTTTGTCTATCTTTCTATACCTAGCTTCATATAGAACTATATACACCAACATAGGGTATCATACAGTGTATATACAGTATTGGGTTTATCAATAGATAAGGATATCAATGGATATCACAACTTTCGGCAAAGTTACATCGTTGTCGATGGTTCAAACTGTTCCAATCTGACGGTGTTTGATGATCGCAAAGTGACTGAGCCGAAGTTCTTTCATCACCAGCATGGGGAGGCTTTCTGAAACTCGGTGCCAAAAGGGCAGGGTTGCTCAAGTAAGCCAATTTAGGTGGATGATATGTGTATACATAATAATTATTAATTATACATATATATACACTGTGAATGTACCATCCAATTGTAACATCAACTTACTCCATCTCATGGCACATGACATGAATCCCATGTTGCTTCCGCTTGGTGCCAACCTTTGCCGACCGCGCCCTTTGGATTGTGCAGCTGGGCGGGCGGGAGGATTCATTCAGGCCAGTGAAACGGGGTTTTGCAGCTTGGTTGGAGGATAGGGTTCCCCGAATTATCTCAGGGAGATAGTAAATTCACATTGGTAGCGGAGCCCTGGGCTGCCGCCTGGGGCATCCGAGTAAGTAAGTTTTGGGGATATCTCTAGACAGGGTCTTGAGTAAGTAATCAGGGTTCAACAGGGTTGAACAACAACACCTTTCTCGGGCGCAAAGTCTGAGCCATGCCGTTGGAACGGGAGGCGGAAGCAGCAGATCCACCACCATCGGGGATTCCTCCAAGTTCCTTACCATGGGGACAGATTCCACGATTTGACCCAGCCACAACGGATCTCCGAGTTTACACCCAGAAGTTGCAGTTTTTACATCAAGTCTGGCCAGTGGAGTACATTGAACATTTGGCTCCCCGTGCTGCACTCTTGGTGGAGGGTGCCGCATTTCAAAAACTGGCAAGATTGGATGCTCAAAAACTGAGGTCAAGCGATGGGGTCAAGATTCTCATCGAAACTCTGGGCGGTGCATGGGGTCGTACAGATCCGGAGGATACCTATGATTTGTTTGAACGGGCGTTGTACTCAGTGAGCCAAAGATCAGATGAAACAAATGACAGCTATTTGGCAAGGCACGACACGGTGTTTGAAGACTTGCTGTCAAAGAAAATTTCTTTGGAAGATGTGCGGGCCTACGTTCTGGTGAGACAATCGAGTCTGAGCTCAGAGGACAGAAAACGAATCATAGTGGACAACCAGGGTCAGTTGACATATGATCAAGCGAGGAAAAGCCTGAGGCTACTGGGATCAAGGTTCTTTCAGGACCTCCAAGGCAATCGATCCAATCAGGGCAAGAAAACATATGAAGCATACCAGTTTGAAGAGATGGAGGAGCCTCATCAGTCCATCTACCTGCAGGAGCATGATGCGGGGGACATCGATGAGGAGCAGGCTTTTCAAATTCTGGCTGAGCAAGGGGATGAAGACGCGATTTTCGTGTCGGATTTCGAGGATCAGATTGTGGAGGCCATTCAAGAGCATCAAGGCCTATCTCAGTGCTTCCTCTCATACCAGGAGGCTAGAGCTCGGGTGAGAGAACGAGCCCGATCAAGGGGCTTTTGGCCGGTGAAAGGAAAATCAAAGGGAAAAGGAACCAAAAAGGGAAAGGCACCATGGACGGCATCTGCGAGCGGATCAACATGGTCCTCAGGACGAAGAAGGTCCCTTGCGGACCGCATCGCCAATTCCACGTGTCGGGCATGTGGACAGCCCGGGCACTGGAAGAGGGAATGCCCGAATAGGGCAGACACCAAGAAGCCTGAGGCTTCCAATGTCGCGGAGGAGATTCACTTGGGAACGGATGACACTGCCACGGACATCTTCGAGGTGGTGTCGGAGTTGCCAGAAAATGCAGTTCCTTGGAGCCAGGCATGGAATGAATGTCAAAGTTCATGCAGTGAGTTTGGGGCGGTTTGGGAGTGTTGTGTATGTTTTGAGACTCCGGTGTCCCACATGGTCAATAACAATCTCCATGCCCGACTGACCAAATGCTGTAGGAAACATGGAATTGAAACGGTGGTCCCAACGTTGCACGATGACGCAGAGCCTGAGCCGTCTGAAGCCACTCGCACGGGAAGTCATGGAAAGACTTCTGAGCCTTCCATAGCGGAGGTCAATCCAGCAACTGTTTTCCAAGTTGAGGAAGCTTGCCACGAAGCCATTCTTGACACAGGGGCAAGTAGGGCTGTGATAGGATCTGATAGGTTGCATGAGTTGGTCAGATCATGTAATCTTGGGGGTTCCCTGAAAACTGCCCCCTCAAAAGTGAATTTTCGATTTGGCAATTCGGGCATGCTTCAAAGCTCACACGCCGTGTTCTTTCCACGGAAAACAGGAGGATGGATCCGAGTGGAAGTGGTTCCTGGTCAAACCCCCTTTTTGTTGTCAAACTCAGTTCTTCGTGCGTTGAGAGCCGTAGTGGATGTCGAGGCAAGACAGGTATGGTTCAAAGGTTCCGAGACAGTCATTCCTCTCAGAACATGCCGAAAGAATCTCATGAGTGTTGATTTCAATCGAATCCTGAACATATCATTTCATGAGAAGCAAAATCACACACATGAAATCCATGTCATGGAACAACATGTGGGGAAGAATCATGATCATGAACATGAGGGATTACATGATGTCATGCCACGAGAACCCACAAAGTGTGAAACCAAATTTAAATCTTATTTGGCCCAGAATCCGAATGACAATGTACAGGAAAATTTTGACAAAGTTCTGATGAACATTGGGGATGGCCTTCAACCAATTTCTCAGAATGTAGCCAATCTTTTGCCCGAGATTCCCAGTTTTCAGGAAGCGCACCAAGCAGATTCCAAGAGCCATGAGTCAGGATCCACACGATCAGGTCCTGACGTGCCGAGTCGATCCGAAGCTCAGCACCAACCAGCAGTATCCCGAGACGGCGCCGGCAGAGATTCAGCGTCCACCGGGAGTCTCCACTCTGCGGGACTGGGGGCAGCTGAAGATGTCTTCGGGGAAGCACGGGGGAAAGACCTTCGAACAGGCCCACACCGATCTCTGTTATGTCCGACAGATGTGGAACAGAAAGGCAGTTTCGGCTTGGGTCCGCAGTTTTCAGATGTACTGCAGGGCTCGCAGCCAGATGACGAGCGAGTACGCCTTCAAGATGCAGGAGATGGGTGTCGAGGTGGACCTGGTCGGTCTACAGACTCAGGTGACAACATCAAATTCCAGCAGTCACAGTGCAGACCCCAAGCCGATCAGCAAGCCGAAAGCCGTGGCCCAGCTGTCACAGCAAGGCCAGTCAGGAAGAGTGGATCAATATCGAGGAGGAAGTGCAGACAAAGAGCGAGCCCAGAAGGACCACAAAGAGGGGAAGTTCCAAGCCACAGACAACGTCGATGGCGACAGAAATCAATGCCACTCGAGTTCAGGAGCTGCGCACTCAGATTGCCATCCTGCAGCGAGAGTTGGCTCGCGAAGAGGACATCCCCGAAGAGGAGGACATCTGAGTGGCGAGCTCGATGATTTAACCAACTATATCGAGAGTGAAGAACCAATCAAATCTCTTTCCCCAGAGCAGGAAGCACTGCTCCACATGGCCATCAATCGGAAAATAACTGAGGTAGAGAGCGGGTTGCTTTTACTGTCTTCCAAAACTGGTTATGGTCATGTGAACATGGGACAATATCGAAAACAGGGGAATAGAGATAACTCCCACCAAAGTCGGCCTTTGGACCTGTTGGAAGTGTATTGTGAAGAAAGTTCTCAAATCACCACCCACATCAATAAGCTTGGGGGACGAGCCATGCGTTTTTCCCGGACTGATGGGGACCTCAATACTTCCGATGGGATCCAAAAACTTTGGTTATGGATATACATGTATGAACCACGCCACATATGGTTGGCCCCAGAGTGCCGGTTGTATGGAAAATTCTCCAATCTGAACATGAGTCAGAGCATTTCCATGTATGATCGGATCCATGAACAACGAAATCAAAACAAACATCACCTTCAATTGTGCAACGACATTTACAACCATCAAGTTTTTCATCGGAGACATGTGCACCTGGAACAGCCATCAGAATCGTGCATGTTTGGTCAACCCGAACTAAAGGAGCTGATGTCTGGAACTTGTGAAGCCAATTTTGACATGTGTCGTGTTGGGAAACTCAAACTACCTCATGTGGAAAAAATTCTCAGAAAACGTACCAGTGTTCGAACCACCAATGGATACATGTACCATCATCTTAATCAACAGTTTTGTCCAAAGAATCATGACCATGAAACCATCCAAGGGTCGTTTAACCATCAGGGTCAGCGACAAAATGTTTCTGCTTTTGTCAGCGGCATATACATCGGCTGATTCTTGAGGAGTGCCTGATCAAGGAACCACCTTGTGTTTCCGAAGTGTTTGGTGTCGATGAAAAACATGAAAGACCAGGAACTGCGCCAGACGAGGCTCCATGTCCAAAGAGACAACGTCACTCAATTAAAGGGCCACCTCGGGGATCGGATATCCCTGTTGCCGCTCCGGCATACGGAAAAGCACCTACGTGGGAGTCCCTGGTCAAGAAGTGTTCACCCAAGGTTCCCCGGGTAGGAAATTTTGTTGTACGTTATGGGGATGAGATGTTCGACAATTTCCAAATGATGGTGCCTGAGCTGCAACTGAAACTTGTGATCTTGTGCCGAGGAACCGAAAGGTTCCGTGTTCCAGGCAGTTTAACCAATGGTGAGTCCATGCCATGGCGCAAAACCATTGTCATTGATCGTGCAACTGGACAGGTGATCGACAAAGGACCACCTGAAAACTGGTGTGCAATGTCCCGAATCCAACAAACACGTAGTGCTGGCCCCGCAAGGCTTTCCATCACTCTGTTTGGGGATAAGATTGAGGGGAGTGTAGTAAGGGTAGAAGGGGATGGCCCAGAAAGTGGGGAAGGTGACCCTGGAAGTGGTGAAATGGAAGTTGAACCGGGTTTGGAAATGACCAGTCCTAAGGGGAAAGCAGAGAGGGGTTGGCCACCTAGGATAGCTCCCAAAAGTGGTCCCAATTTTGAGAGCTTGGACCCTGAGAAGAAAGCTGATTTGCGTAGGATCCATGCTAATCTTGGTCATCCACACCCGGGGAAACTTGCGCGATTTCTCAGTGAACAGGGTGCGGATGAAGCCGTTGTGAGGGCGGCTCGGGACTATCAATGTGATGCCTGTGTTGAAAACCAGGCAGGCCCCAAACTGTCACATCCGGCCAGTCTTCATGTTCCCAAGGATTTTAATGACTGTGTGGGCTGTGATGGAGCGTACTGGACCAACAGACAGGGCCTCAAGTTCCACTTCATGCATTTCATTGATGAAGCCACTCTTTATCATGTAGGGGTTCCAAGTGGTAGGACAACGGAGGAACAGATCCAAGTGTTTGAGAACGTTTGGTTGAACTGGGCTGGGCCTTGTAAGACTCTGTACTTGGACCCTGCTGGAGAATACATCAATGATCAATGGCATGATTTTGCACAAAAAGAAGGGATCAAACTGTCAGTCGCGGCGGGAGAAAGCCATTGGCAGATTGGCCGCGCTGAATCCCATGGACGCATCGTGAAACAAATGCTGACAGCCATGGACGTAGATGAACCCATTTCCAATTTTGATCAGTTTCGGAAAAGCCTTCGACATGTGTTTGCTGCCAAAAATGCTTTAAGCAATGTCAATGGATATTCCCCTGAACAGGCATTGCTGGGTAAATCTTGTGCTGTTCCTGCATCACTGGTAGGGGATAATGAAGCAGCCACACATAGTCTGGCTGAGAGTAACTCCCCTGAAGGGATCCTCTTCCGTGAGAGCCTACGACGGCGTGAATGCGCCCGTAAGGCGTTTCTGACAGCTGACAACAGCAGTGCCCTCCGCCGAGCCGTTCTCCGTCGACCCCGGAAAGAGATCACCCAGTACCAAAGTGGGGATTGGGTACTTTATTGGAGAAAACAAAAGGGGAATAATAAAGGGGAACGAGGAAGGTGGCATGGCCCTGGTCAGGTAATTGCCACAGAATACCCAAAAATAGTCTGGGTCAGCCATGGGGGTTATCTTGTGCGAGCCAGTCCACAGCAGCTTAGACCCGCTTCTCTTCGGGAACACCTTGAGCTTAGGAGAGATAGCTCTGGTCAAATCGTGGATGAACAAGTCAAGACAGCATGTAAGAATTATCTCCAACTTGAAGGGGTTCCTGAAGAGGAGACAATTCATCGTGATGACTCCCTGGCTCATCCGGCAAGAGAATGTCCCGGAAGTGCCGCTGATGGAAGTCAGCCAGAAGGCGAAATCTTCCCGTCTGCGGCTCCGTCTTCTGTATCGCCGTGTCCTTCCATTTTAGATGACCCTATTGAGCCTCAGGAAGGGGTAATCGACTTTGACACCCCAGTCGAAACACCGGTTCCAAATGATGGGGAGGATCTGTTATTTGGGGATGATTGTGAACCACCAGAACCAGGTTTGGGTATATGGGAGGTAACCCTCGAAGATGGACCCCCAAGGGATGTAGAGGATGGACTGTTATGTGAATCCCCTGAATTTTTGGAGTGGTCATTAATCGCGACGGGGGCTCGTAAACAAAGGGTTGAAGTCCAATGGAAGAGTCTTGGGGAAGGGGAGCGACAATTATTTCAACAGGCCAAAAAGAAGGAGATTGATGCCTGGGTAAAGCATGAGACAGTTAAGCGGGTAGCTAAGGGAACCCTCAGGGATGACCAGATCATGCGTTGCAGATGGATACTCACATGGAAGTCCCCTGCTCCGGGCTCGAGCGAACGTCGAGCGAAAGCACGACTAGTGGTGCTGGGTTTTGAGGATCCTCAGATATCATCCATCTCCTCTGACGCCCCAACTTTGTCAAAAGATGGGAAACAGCTAATCCTTCAGCAAGTGGCCAGCAATGGATGGCGTTTGGTGAATTTTGACATTGCAACTGCCTTCTTGAAGGGTCAAGGAGATGGAAGAGCCTTAGGTCTTCATGCCCCAAGGGAGCTCAAAGAAGCCATCGGAATGGAACCTGGAGATCAGTGCAGCCTTTTAGGTGGAGCATACGGACGTGCCGACGCACCAATTTTGTGGTACAAGACGCTTCGTAGAACTCTTGAGGGTCTTGGTTTTGTTGCCTCACCTTTTGATGGATGCGTGTTCAGCCTGATCACCAAGGTTCCCAACGGACCAAAGGTCCGTGGCTGTCTAGGACTGCATGTCGATGATGGGATAGGAGGAGGTGATGAATATTTTGGGGAGGTCATTGAACGGCTGAGAAAGGTATACGATTTTGGTGCCTACAATGAGGGGGATTTCGAGTTTTGTGGAGTAAGATATTATCAATGGGATGATGGGTCCATTGAGATGGGACAAGACTCATATATTCAGAAAATATCTCCTATAGATATCCCTCGTCAACGTCGACAACAGCCAAGGGAACCGCTGTCTTCAGCTGAAACTCAATCACTTCGTCAGATTTGCGGGAGCCTACAGTATGCTGCAGTGCATACACGGCCGGACATATCGGCTAAGGTAGGGGAACTTCAGGCAGCCATCCCTTGTGGCCAGGTGGAGCATTTGATCATAGCGAATCGAGTGTTGTTTGAAGCTAAATCCAAACCCGTGAATCTGATGATTGTTCCGATTGCAGAATCCAAGGTGACATTCTGTGCCTTTTCAGATGCCTCGTTCGAGTCTGGAAATGGAAAACCCACAAGGCAGGGCACTTTGATTTTCACCACGGATGGCAATTTAGCCAAAAATCAGCGAACAGTGATTTGTCCGATGGCATGGTCCTCACGCAAAGTTCCGAGGGTTGTGCGGAGCACACTCACTGCCGAATCCGTGGCACTGGGATCCACGTTGGATCGCCTAAGTTGGTTGAGAGTGTTTTGGGAATGGTTGAAGAACCCTGGCATTGACTGGTCTCAGCCAGATCAAGTTTTGAGGGGAGCTCCACATGCGACAGTGGCCACCGATTGTAAATCTGTGTTTGATTTATCAACCAAAACCTCCACACCATCTTGCTCAGAATATCGCACGACATTGGAATGCTTGCTCATCAGAGAGCGCCTTCGAGAGAACTGTGGTCTGAGGTGGGTTAACAGTAGGGCCATGTTGGCAGACTGTTTGACTAAGTCCATGGATGGTGATGTTCTCAGGCAAGCTCTGATGGTAGGACAATATGCTCTTTTTGATGAGCATGAGGTGCTCAAGGAACGGGCCGACAAGAGGTCCAGACTCAAATGGATAAATCTTGGAAGCAACAAAGGGGTCCAGCAACAGGAAAGTCCAGAAGGGGTTTGATGTTGATGTTATGTTAATTGTTTTCTTTTAAAAGTTTTTGGATTTTTGACGAGTGTGAATGTACCATCCAATTGTAACATCAACTTACTCCATCTCATGGCACATGACATGAATCCCATGTTGCTTCCGCTTGGTGCCAACCTTTTGCCGACCGCGCCCTTTGGATTGTGCAGCTGGGCGGGCGGGAGGATTCATTCAGGCCAGTGAAACGGGGTTTTGCAGCTTGGTTGGAGGATAGGGTTCCCCGAATTATCTCAGGGAGATAGTAAATTCACAATACACGTATATACAGTGTATATATATATGTATATTGAGCCGTTGCTTGCGAAAAATGAGAAATGTATAGAAATGTTCACTTTGGAGGACTTGCTCCTGTGATAGCATTCACTATATCATATGCGGAGCCTAAGGTTGGCAAGTCATGGTGCCAACACGCCGATCCCAGGAAGAATAGTGACCTGGTGCTGTTGGAACGACAAGAGCCTGTGGTCCTGGAGGTGTTCTGGGAAGTGCTTCTGGGCAGAGTTTTGGAGGGCTAAAGCTGGCCAAGAAATTTGATGATATACCCTGCGGTTATTTAACATATCTAATCAATCATAGACAATAGCATTTTTTGAACTTTTCAATAGGTAAATCATCTGTCGATGGGCCATTTTCCATAGCTATGTTAAAATTACCAGAGGGTATTTGGGGTTTAATGGGGATTGATGATTGTGCCTACGGGTGGACAACCGAACGTGTGGTTGTCACTATTTTTGATTGTCCAACATCTTGGGGTGGGGTAGGGTGGGGTATTAACAATCTTTGTAGTAAGAACTTTCAACTACGTTATTGACTTCCAACTACATTAACACCCTTAGCATCCAACTACGTTGTTATCTTCTCTATCAACTTCCAACTACGTTAGCATCCCTTGTAAAACATCTTCCAAGTACGTTGTTATCTTCTCTATCAACTTCCGAGTACCTTAGCATCCCTTGTATAAGACATTTTCCAAGTACGTTGTTATCATCTCTAGCAACTACCAACTACTTTATCACCTCTGGTCCGACTTCGTGCAACTACGTTATTTTCTGTTCTATCAACTTCCAACTACGTTATCATCCAACTACGTTGTTATCTTCTCTATCAACTTCCAAGTAGGTTAGCATCCCTTGTAAGACATCTTTCAAGTACAATGTTTTCTTCTCTATCAACTTCCAAGTAGGTTAGCATCCCTTGTAAGACATCTTCCAAGTACAATGTTTTCTTCTCTATCAGCTTCCAACTACGTTAGCATCCCTTGTAAGACATCTTCCAAGTACGTTGTTATCTTCTTTTTCAACATCCATTTACATTAGCATCCCTTGTAAGACATCTTCCAACTACGTTGTTATCTTCTTTATCAACTTCCATTTACATTAGCATCCCTTGTAAGACATCTTCCAACTACGTTGTTATTGTTTTTTTTCCCCTTTTAAGACATTTTCCAAGTACGTTGTTATCTTCACTATCAACTTCCAACTCCGTTATCATCTCTGGTCTGTCTTCGTGCAACTACGTTGTTATCTTTTCTATCAACTTCCAAGTACGTTAGCATCCCTTGTAAGACATCTTCCAAGTACGTTCCTTTTCACTATCAACTTCCAACTACGTTTCTGATGTCTCTGACTGGCAAAACCTTGGCACAGATGTGACCAAAGCTTGACTCAGAAAAAAGACCGCTTTCATGTGCCAAAACCATGGCCCCGCTGTTACTTTGTGAAATGACCCACCAACAATTGAGTACTTTTCTGGGGTGAAATGTCCATATTTGATGGCCAGTGCACAGAAAACAATAAAACCAATGGGATTGAGACGCAAACTTGACAAAAAGACATGAAATCCATTGCAAAACGCCAAACGACACAGGATCCACACACATCAAAAGGGCAACGCCGCCACGTTCAATTACCCACCCGGCGGGATGATTTACCTCTTAAAATGTTCCCTTTATAGTGAAAAATATCAAAAAAATGCAAAGTGATGCAAAGTGTCAAAAATCACCAGAGGGAAATGGCGGAAATGGGATCTTTTGGAATGGGTGGCTCAACCAGCAACCATTCCTCAGGTTGCTGGCGGTGACGTCCGGTGCGACTGACGATGACGTGGCTCTGCAGGGAGCCAGGACGGAGTTGGACGGAGTTGGGGTCACCGAGGTCTGGGTCGCAAAGCTTCATAAGCTCAGGAAATCAGAGGAAATCGTGAAACTTATAACATTATAGTATAGAAATCTTGAAGATACATATATATATATATTATCATAAAAATTATCATAAATATTAAAATAATAATATCATATAATGATTGTTGTACTATAGATCTTATATATGTTTTGTTGTTTATGTTTTAATCGGTGTTGATCATCAGAGACTGAGCTCACTAAACTTGGGCATGTACTTCAAAAAACGAACATCACCAAGGCAAAGTGAATGACTTCGATTCGACTTTCTTAGCCCTATTCTGGGACGGGTTCAAAGACACTTGATGCAAGTGATTTGGACCAGCGACTACCAGAATCCTCGGAGCCTTCCCCAGCCACAGATGACCCCAGCTGATCCAGTAGCGCTTGCATCATATCCTGCTAGATATTTATTTTGGGGATGAAGTGCTCCTCAAGAATTCCTGACTCCATGGATTTCTCTTGCCTCGACTTATGGATTTCTGTTGGGAGTTGGGAGCAGTATCTGCCAGGATTTCGGGCCGTTTCGGGTTGGTCAACTGGGCTCAGACTGAGCTCCAGCCAGCTGCAACTTGTCCGACTTGTCCAGGAAGATTTGGAGTTTCCTGAAGGAAGCACCGCGGGACAGCAAGATGAATTTCCTGCAGCTGTACCTGGGATGAAAAGGGCTTCCATTTGTTGGAAAGTGGCGGCCAGGGTTGTTGGGCTGAGTTGTGACAGCCTCCTTTCTTTTTGGGATTTCAACATGGTGGAATTTGAAGTGACCCATTTATGGGCCAATATTTCCTCAACAAATTGGAAGGATTTTCCCAATATAATCCCTCAATGGGATATTCCAATGAGCATTCACATCCCAGTTTCGATCATCCCATTACAGCGGAAAGTTCGGTTTCGACCAGAGTCCAGCCGCTGGAGTTTTTCAGTGTCAGGTGCATCAAAGAGTCGTCCTCGGAAGGCAACAGCTGGTGGTTGGACCTGGGAGATCGAGAAGTGCTTGATGCTCTGCCAGTGGCTGGGCACGAGGTCAATATCTTGACGACAGATTGGGCTTCTCTAATTTTGAGAAACCAATGAATACTCCGACTGAGAAATATGTCATGTGGTGAAAACAATAATAAACCATATACCCCAAATTACCATAAATAGGTGGTACAAATCATTCCCAAATGGGTTTTATTGTTTTACCCACATTATACAGAATTGTTAGTGAACTGTTAGTGCATCTCTAATTTCACTGGTTGAACTCTTTTCGATCCATACTTCTCTCCATGTACGCCAAGCAAACTCTTAAATGCAAAAACACAGACGATGGCTGTGCAATATGGTTTTCCTACTATGGTGGAATCATCTCTCCCAGGCACAGTCCATTTCAAGAATCCATTTTGGAAAACTTCAACCAATCAGCAGAACCTACTGTAGTCCTTGATGGACATGGATCCTATGCTTTGGTCAGAAGGTATGCTCACATCAAGTCCATGGAGAATTGTCTATGGCCTGGTTGTTGACCTGAGGAAAGTCATGAATTGTTGAAAACTCCAGAAAATCAGAAAAACAGTCATGAACATGACTAATCATTTGGAGCCACCAGTGAGTCAGTTGGTGATTTTCGTGATGATTATTATCATCCACTAGCCGGTTGGATGGCAATTGAACATCCCCAGTGAAAGTGGACTTCATCTTGAAATATTATCCACTATTTTCTGCCAGGAAGTAATTTGGTTGACAATTAGATCCCTTTTAAATCCCATTAAATCACCATTAAACCACCATAAATCACCAGAAATCACCATTAAATCACCATAAATCACCATTAAACCACCAGAAATCACCATTAAACCACCATAAATCACCAGAAATCACCATTAAACCACCAGAAATCACCATTAAACCACCATAAATCACCAGAAATCACCATTAAATCACCATAAATCACCATTAAACCACCAGAAATCACCAGAAATCACCATTAAACCACCATAAATCACCAGAAATCACCATTAAATCACCATTAAATCACCATTAGTTCCCATTGAATCACCATTTAAACCGCCGTAAAATCAGCGTTCATCACGTCTAAGGTCTCCGCTTCCCTCAGCAGCCTCGCCGTGCTGCGACGAGTGCTGGAGGCCTTGTGGTGCGACGCGACAGCGGCGGAGGAACTGGGGGCAGCTTGGGCGTCGTTTAGGTCGCCAGTTCAAGTGGCCGCTGGAGCCCGTGGTCTTTCTGAGGGGATCCATCTGGATCCATTCAATCTGGGCTCAATAGGTTTCAATAGTTTGGAACCATGGAGTTTTTGGGCTCAAGAGTTTTGACCACTTTTTGACCCATCCGTGAAGTCTGGAACTCTAAGGATCATTACACAGGTAACCCCAAAAGAAGGCTGTTTTGCGGCTATTGACCCCCCATCAATGGGCCCCATCAACCCTCAATGGGGGTACCAGCCCTTTATGGCCATCTCTCTGGCACTGTGCTGATTTAACTGATGGAATCACTCAGCAGATGGGGAGAATCCAACCGGAGGATGGGCATTATTGTCCCTTTGCCTTCATAGATGTCTCCGACCGCAGCTAGTTCTAGCACAGATGCTTTTATAGATGATGTCTCCTAGCACAGATCAGATCAGATCAGCATCTTTTGATGACCTTGCCATGACCACACACTTGTATCATCTTGGATCATTCCTGCTGTGGATGGGTGCGAAATCCTGCACCAGTTGATAGATGGTAAACATCCCATGATTTACTGGTTGGTGATTTGGACCATTTTTTATTTTCCACACTATATGGGATATTCCTTCCCATTGACGAACTCATATTTTTCACGATGGTTAAAACCACCAACCAGATATCCATCATAAGTCCATAATATAATATATAATATATATATCCATTATTATGATGATCAAAGATATATAGATCCTATGATTATCATCAATGTTTATAGATTTTATAAGATTTCCACCATCCACAGTATCACCATGACCCAAGGACAGCATCCTGAGCTCGTGTTTCACTGGCTTGGAGGCGTCTCATCCAAGGGCTGGTGACCCGGATCCAGATGAACACTGGGATGCTGAAAATGCCATGGCGCATAAATGGTTGGTTTCACCAGATTCTTGGTTAAGTAATATAATATATATATTATTATATTAAATGTTATATATTATATATTATATATAATAGATATTATATTATATATTATATATATATTATACAGTATAATATATAGTCTATAATATGTAATAAATAACATATCATAAATAATATATAATAAATAATATATAATATATAATATGATATATATATAATATTATATAGTATATGTAAGTGTATATATATATACATATGTATACTATATAATCTTATATATATATATATATCGCATTGTATACCTACGATTTTCCATTGCCCTGTTCCAAGGTTGGGGCTTCGCCTATGCCGCAGTGCTGAAGCGCCTTTGGGAAGTGGACGCCATTTGCCAGGCGGGGCGGACTTAAACATGGGATATACATACTGTAGCCATCTATAATCTGACGAATAGTAATATAGTTATTACCTGGACCTTCCAAAGTGAAGAAATTTCTTCACTTTTTGAACTTCTGCACTATTTGAACTATTTGAACTTTTCTGGATAAAACTGAACTATTCTGGGAACTGAACTTTCTATATGCCTCTTCCATCCCCCAATGTACATCCTGGCAGTCTTTTCCCCAAGTGCGGTGTTCACAGCATTGTTACACAATGTCCGAGATCATTTTGAACTGGACCTGGTACATCCCCAAGCTTTTTTCTAAACACCGAAAGGTCTGCGTCAAAGGATGGCAGGATCTCCCCAAGCGGGACACACGGCCAATGTAATCCTCATCCTGCCATGTTGCTGTGCCTGAGTTGCTGGCATCATCATGCTTGAGGAAAGCAAGGGTTGAATCACGCAACAGCTAACTACTAGTAGCCAGGTTACAACATGGGTTCATTGACACCTCGCCCTCAAGGTCTAGGGCAAGGTGTGTCCCCAGGTGAAACTTTGGGCGGTACTTGTAGAGCTTCAGCTCACGTGAGAAAGCTTTGCCGGCTAAGTTTGCGAATGCCACCTAGGGTGCCAAACCAAAATCTCATATTATAACGAATTGGCTGGCCATTGATGAACAAAATGCAGCACACATATACATGTAGGTGCATCTGAGATGCATTCATTTCACACCCATAATGCATTGCATCAGAAGAGGCTTCCCCCCAAAGCCAAATTCCTTTGCTCCTGTTGGGTTGCAGAGAAAAAACCTTGCAGCCCAAATGAACAAGAACCACATTGGCTCAAAGTTGGGTCCTGATCAGGCGAAAGAACCTGTTGCAGCATTTGAGGAGATAAGCGCAAAGCTGGTACATCTCATCCGCAGTGTCCACCTGCAACATGATTTAATTTCAGGGGTGGTACAACATGTAACATCTAGAATCAATATTGCACCTTCTAACGTACAAGAGTTTTAGGTATATACCTATCTAACATCACCCAAACCGAATTGACATGTATTTTCTGGCTAAGCATGTTTTAGGCCAAAGTCACAATATGTTGTTTCCGATGGGAATTTTGATACCAGCGCATTGTTGGATCTACCACAAATGGGGTTATTGTATGGGTTTGTTCAAAGATATGGTAAAAATTGTTTTTTTTTTACAAACCACCAACAAGGAAACACTATATAATGATTCACCAGGAGAAAATTCCCACCATGCTATGCCGAAAGCCTCGCTTTCTACATGGAGATCATCCTCCAGCCAAGCGATGACTAGGCCGGTATCGTACGCCTTGCTGCTCCCAATACTGGTCGGCCAATCCTGGTTCCTGAGTTATATATATATATATGGCTTTAAGATATTTTGAAGAACTTCAACTGCACTATGTATGGGAATCACTTTCAACAAATGCAGATTAGGATCGAAGACATGTCAAACGCTTGCCGAGAAAATGCTTGAATATGAGACGTATGCCCATGCTCGCGGCACCACTCATCAAAGCGGAAGTAAGCAGTCTCTAGCTTGTGTTTCAACTTACTTCCGGCAAAATGGTTCAGATGTGCCAACAATACCACAGAACTGGCTGCGATGTCCTGACCGTAGCCAAGGTGGAATATATGGCAAAAGTCTAAGAGCACGGCTTCTGGAGTCCCAAGACCAGGCACTTTGAGCAAGACACACCCAGGTCTGAAAGGGCTGGGACCTGGGCCCAGCCTCCGCCAAGCTGCGGAACTTGATGGGTTTTCCCACTCCTGCATATGGGAGCGGGAAAAAGGACAGGGCACCCACTATTTGCTTGGGATTCTCTTTCAGTTTAGAATGGAAATTCGCAGCTTTCACAAATGGTTTGTGGCACTTTAATGCGAATGAAATCAAATCCCTCTTCCGCAATCCTTGGAAGTGCATCTGTGACAAAGGCGGGTTGATGTAAACCCAGAAATCAACTTGAATGCCTGGAATTCAGAAAGGGCCGCCATTGGCCACAGAGATGCAGGATAGAAACCTACAAATACTAGAAGTGGATCAGATGGGTATTTCTTTCGATATGTTATTGGGGGTACAATATACCAATATATACCAATGTACATAACAGACATGTGTTTCTACACATAGCCGGATATCATGTATAATAAAAATAACCCGATATACTGTAATATATATATATTTATATTTTTGTATTTTTATCTTTATCATAGATTTGGTTTTGATATGGATGTAGGTCTAGAAAGGTAAAGGTAGACATGGATAGGTAAAGGTAGAGATGGATAGGGAAAAATAAATCAATTTAGATAGGTAAAGGTAGAGACAGACAAATATAGGTAGGTAAAGGTAGATACAGAGTGATGAATATATATATATAGGTAAAGAAAGAGAGAGAGAGAGATAGTTAGATAGATAGATAGATATATATATATATATAGAAAATAGATGAATATATAGAAATATCTGGAAATAGATAGATGTAGATATGGATAAATATAGAAATTGAGATTGAGATAGAGGTGGAGATGTCGATAGCTAGAAAGACAGAAAGATAGATATAGATAGATGCAGATATAGGGATATATATATATATTTAAATATAGATATAGGTATTGATGTTGGTATAGATAGATTTTGAATGATTTTGATATCTAGGTAGAAATAGATTTTAAATAGATATAGATAAATAAAGATAGAAAAAGATAGATAGAGATCGGTATAGAAAGATTAAGATAATTAGAGATATTAGAGACAGAAAATAAGATTTAATAGGAAGGATATCGGTAGATAGATGTAGATAGATAGATATAGATATAAACAGATGTAGGTCAATGATAAAAACAGTGATAGACATATAAAGATGAATATATACATGAATAGGTAGAGGTTAGATGCTATACGCTATGCCCCAAGAAAACCCCATGTAGAGCCAAAGATACTTTGCGGAGATATGGCCAATCTCCTTTGGCTCCAATGCAAACGATGCGCAGGCGGATGCCAGCTATGTCCTCACAGAACAGGGCGATGCCATCTTGGAGGAGTGACATCTAACTTTTGTTCAATCGAGTTGTAAAGCTAGGTCAACACTTGTGAGAAGCCCTCTACCCAAAGTGGCATGATGGTATTGTTGAATCAAGCCACACAAATACCATTTTCATAAGCTTCAATCAGCTCTGTAGCAAACTCATCCAGGAGATCATCAAGAGACCGATCTCCATCATACAGGCTGGCGGAGATGGCCGAGAAGAGAAAACGAGTTGTGAAGCTGTGCCTTAACTCACTGTGCAATCCAGGTCCTGTTGACATCAATGGTAACTATTTGTTGAAAAAATATCTTGCAAGACTAATGGCCTCCTAGTTGCGTTGAGTCGTTGCAAACACCAGGACCATGGTGGGATATGACTGTTTGCCAACTCAAAACCATAAAGGGTCTTCTGGCAAGGCCACGGCCTTCATCACCATGAAGAAAAATTGGCACGCATCCTTTAAGATCAAAGGGGGTGGAAAAGACTGGATGTCCCGGGTTTGTTGCTTGGTAGGTTTGCCAGAATGCCCCCAGCATCATTTGCCACTCCTGGGCCTGGGACACAGGGTATCCACCCAAAATCATTTGGGGTTTGTTCTTCACAAAGTAGTTGATCCAGCTGCTAAGCTTCAGGATTGGGAACCATACCTGGTATCGCCTCACTGG